ATCATTGGTTGGGGATATTGGTATTACAGGGCTGTTACTGATGCTGATGGTCCACCCTAAGCTGTTAAGAGACTCTCTTGCTGTTTAGAAGCTCACCACTCAAACGCAGCGTGCCCTTCAGTTCCACCCTCTGACTGGATTGTTTCTTTAAACTGCCCATTAACCTTCTTAATCCCTCCGTGTCATCCTCTTCCTTATCTTCCCTGTGGCTCTGGTGTGAAGATCATTTTGCTAACTCCGCATCCATGTGTGCAGGCAAATACCTGCTGGTGCTGTCTCTTGGAAGTGATGCTTACTTTATTTTTAACCTGGTTTCTTTCAGAACCAGGCTCGTGTGCTGTCACTCCCAGTTAGTCCCTTCCTGTCCTTCCTCTCCTTCCTAAGTGGTTCTGAATGGGAATCACACCTGACACAAGAGCATTGGTGACATGAAAAATGACAATCTGTATTTGGCTATAGGAGAGAAAACGAGCCCAGCATTCCCTGAGCTCTCCTTCGAGAAGAAGGCAGGGAGAGCTCAGCCCGTGGTTGTGTTTGCTCACCAGTGATGTATAGGCTGCTGGGCTTGGCCCAACCAACCAGGGATGTGTGAGGGGCCGGGGGACAGGTCTCTAGAGTTGAGAAAGGCTTGGGAGAATGGAAATGGGGTCAGAAAAGCCACTGGGGGTGTGTAAGGCTCTGCTCTTGCTAAGGTAAGCACACAAGTGGGTCTGTGTGTGAAAGAGGCAAAGAAGCGAGTGCTGCAGAGGCCTGGAGACGTGAAGGGGACTGGAAGGTTTGAGGTGGGGATGTAAGGAGGAATTTAATTTATTGCAGGGGATGTTTGAGCAGGGATTCATGGAACTGCTGCTGTTCATAAATAGTTCTCATTTTTTCTTGTGGATTTCAGTTTCTGAATCTGGTTTCAGTATCTAAAATTGAGTCTATCTGGACTGAAATACAGTGTGGTGCCATGTGCTTACGTGGACGTAGAAATGGAGAGTTATGAACACTTGTTTCAATCGAAGTAAAGCCATGGCAGGGGAGCAGCCAGGCAGGACTCCTGGTGATCATGCAGGGCCTGCACAACTGAGACACTGGTGTGCAAGGCTGGGAAGCTGATGGACAGAGTCCGTGTACCTCGTTCCCCAGGGCAGTTCTGTGCACTGGGTTGCTAATACGGCACAAGCGAAATGTAAGGGATTGGAGGTCAAGTGGTACATTTAGAGTTTGTGTCTGCATGTTTGGCAACATTTCATAGTTCTCAAAAAACCCAGAGTTCTCAAGTGGATAAATTGTCTCACCTGTGCTAATTGTGACAATGATACATTTTTCTCTTAGGATCCCACTTTCAAACCATGCCAGATGAAGACCCATTTCGTGCTTCCCTTCCCAGTGAACTACGTTGGGGAGTGCATCCGAACGGTCCCCTACGCCACTGCGGACTATGCAAGGTGGGGAACAGCATCAGCAGGGACCTTCTCTGTGTGTTGCATGGCACACACCAAAAGGGAAGTGTTGTTAGGCTGACCACAGGAAGTGGAGCGTGGATAGAAAATGCTTTGCAGCGCATGTGTCACAAATTCTTTATGGAGCAGTCTTGGCATGGCTAGGTCCAGAAATTAGGTCCAGACATGCCTTGTTTTAGAAAACAAGGTGCTGCCATCCCCCAACTTCCAAATAAACAGCCCTGCCTGAGTTGATGTGTCTGAGTTGACAATCCTATTGCATGTGACAAAGTTTAGGAGGCTGCTTTCCTATTTAAGTGAAATAAATGGAGATGTCCAAGGAGTGTTCCAAAGCAGTGCCACTCTTACAGTGATGTCACGTTATTCAGCTATTATTAAATATGGAGTATTGTTATAGCTTACAAGCAGCAGTGCATTGCAAATGGGGATCTTTGTGAACTTTAGAGGAAGCTGAGAATATTATTGTTGTCCAATTTGTTTAACATCTTTGCTGTTGTTATTTCTCTCGTTCCAGCCTTCGAATTCTTGCGCGGCTGATGACAGCTAAATTCCTGCACAGAGAAATCAGAGAGAAAGGAGGGGCTTATGGAGGAGGTGCTAAACTCAGCCACAATGGCATATTCACTTTCTACTCTTACAGGTACCAGTCGGGTCATTCTTTTCCTGTTTCTGTCTGAGGGGCTGCTGACTGCAGTTAGATATATGTATTTATTTTTTTTTAATTAGTTGTAGCTCTCATTCAAGATCAAGAGAAATAAAAAGAATGTTGAATCACAAGAAAGTGATTCAGTGCTGATGATGTTCAGATTAATTGCTTAAGGCATGCGAGTTGTGTTGATTAACACCTCCTTGATTTCTCTGCTTTCTCTCCTTGGGAAAGCCTGACTTATCTCTGCTGGTAGCAACCGTTGCTCTGTCTCTGTACTTAAGTGTTTACTGTCTTGGTGACAGATTTTTGTAAAACTGGCTTTCACGTGTTTCCTCCTGGGTTGAGGAGGCCCTAAAAAAGGGAATTCAAGACTGTTCTAAATTTGAGACCAGGAAGTAGAAGTGTTGTTCCCTAAGGTCCTGGGTTTGAAAACACGCAGCTTCCTGTGGTGGCTGTGGCTGGAATAATCAGAGGTTTGGCAGAAAGTGTCGCTGGTGAAGAGCTTCAGCTGCTTTCTCCTGCTTTGCTTCTTTTTTTACCAGTCCAGAACAGTTACCTTGCATTGATCTTACCAAAGCACATGCAGATTAAATTAGGACTGGAGGTATTAAAGGCTAGTTATAATCCCTGCTAGAAGTGGTACGTGGCTGCAGCCCTGGCTGGAACCCTCCCCGTGGGCTGACGGCAGCCAGCGCAGCACTGGGCCGGGATTCCCAGCTCTCTGTGTAGCTTCAGCGTGGTGGGACTTGTCCCGGTTGGTATTTCAGTGGTTCTTAACCTGTTGCACCTGTTTTACAGAAAGCCAAAACAGGTGTAGCAGGAAACATAACTCAGAGAAGATAGGGCATATCATAGCTATTACTGTTGATGTGACTGGCAGCTGTGCTCACTAAGCTGGTGCAGCAAAAGGGTAGTGCATTGAAACAGCGCTGGTTCCCCGTCTCTCTGCTCACCAGTTCTCTGCACGGCTGCTTCAGAACTACTTTTAGCCACCTGAACTTGCTGCATTTGTGTACCTAAAATTCTAAATATGCCTGGTTTGTAACACTTCTTTCTTCTGAGAAAAAAAAAAACCAACACATCTTCTTCTTGTAAACAAAAAGGAATTTTACAATGTGGTTTAATCCCCATGGATGTACGTTTGTGTGATGCACAGTAAACTGTGAATGAAATGAGAACACAGCAATTACAGTATTTCATTTTGTAAGACTAAAGTAATTAATTTTACCTTTTTTTTTCCTTCTAAGAGACCCAAATTCACTAGCCACCTTGAAAACATTTGAAAAAGCAGTTGAATGGGCCAAATCTGGAGAATTCACACAACAAGATATCGATGAAGCTAAGCTGGCAGTGTTTGCTGCTGTAGATGCACCAATAGCTCCTTCAGATAAAGGTATATTCTCACCAGCCTCACAGTCCTGCAAATATTATTTTTTTTTAATTTAAGTTTAAAGGGAAGAAAAAGTTGGTTTGCTAAACTCAACAGTGCAAGTGTGGGTTTGTTTTCTTTTTTTCCTAGGGATGGATCATTTCTTATATGGGATTTCAGATGAAATGAAGCAGTCGCACAGAGAACAACTTTTTGCTGTCAACAGCGCTAACCTGGTCGATGTATCAAACAAGTAAGTCAGTGCCCAACTTAGGAGAACGGTTTCTTCCCTTGGCCTTTCACTATTTGCTTTTGTAACCTAGAGAGAGAGATGTTCATTATGTGCTGCTGCTTGCATTGTAGCTACATTCTGAGTTTGGGGGAGATAGATTGGTTTACTTTTGAAAGGTCCACAAAGTGTCTGGAGGAATACGCTCAGACATCCAGCTGCTGGCTACATGAGCTGGTTCTTCTAGATGTGTAGGATCTTGTGCTTCTTTAGGCTTTAGAATTCTGGTCCTGAAGAGTACAAGGAGATAGACAGGGTGGTTAGGGCTCTGCTGACTGGGGAAAACCACTAAATACCAAAGATGCTGTAAAAGCAACAATGGGAATGTATCAAACAGCACTTTTTCCTGAGATGGGAATAGTTCTAACTGGGAGCTGAGTTACAGATAACTGAATGCAGCAGCTTATTTGTTTCTGTTTTTTCCTTGCAGGTACCTTGCAGTTGGGAAGAGCACTCGTGGTCAAGCTGTACTTGGCCCAGAAAATGCAGATATCACCAAAGATCCCTCCTGGGTCAAACGATGAATTGCTGCTGAACATCCAAGCTAATACAAAACAAGCCAATCTGCGTGACTATATCATTAGTGTTTTGTAGTAACTTTTAACTGTGCCATGGTCCAACTTAATTATTCATTGCTGCTTTTAACAGTGTCCAAGAAACCAGTTAAAAGCTGTCCTTCAGATAACTGTGTGAAGAAGCTTCTAACCGTGCAGTATTTGAGAGCAAGATTGATTTGCTCTGTTACGGCAAAGACAGACCTTAATATTTTATTGAAGATTCACTGCGCCGATCACCTATGAATACTATATAAATTAAATATTTTTCTATATGTAAAAGTCTAGAGTTTTAAATGGCATTTGTTTGAAATCGTGTCTGCTGTTGGATATATAAAAACTATGTCTCTTCGTTCTTTGGTGTGGTAATTCCAGCTTCCTTTGCATGAGCCACCTCCTGGCAGAGGAGCTTTGTGATGGTACATTCCACCTCACATCAAGCCAAGGTTGTAGTGAACTGTGGTGCAGTGGGCAAATCACTAATCAATCAGTTTATCAGGTATTTTAAGTTTAACTCAGTCATACTTTGATAGGACAGACTCGATTTTAACTTTTTGTCAATATTGAATGCTTCCTGGCTGGAAGGGCAGTGGCTTTTTTCCTTCACTAGAGTACATAGAGAATCCTTCATGAAGTATTATTCCTCCCCGTGATTAAAAGCAGGTGAATACCATTTCTGACAAGTCACTCGTGATGTTTGCAACAGTACTTTATTTCACTTCAGATACATTAAGCACATTCTGTAACTCAACACAAAGCTAGGCAGCTACACTTATTTTTGGGTGTAAGTACTCCGAAACAAAGTGCAGTAGATGAGTAACTTACAGAGTGCATAGAACGGGTGTTGCACTTTCTGTTAATGGGTAGTAGCAGTAACTGGTGCTTAACCTACTGGCTGCTAGGGTTTGTTTCAAACATAACACAAATACAGGACAAAATCTCTGTGACATCTGAACGTCTCGTTTCACATAAAGTGCTGGTACAATAATTTAAATGTTACAAAACAGAGCTGTAACGATTCTAAAGCATTGTTACCCACAATGTGCATCTAGTACAAGGATCTAAAAGTGATGTCTTTAGATGGCTCCGGTCTCTGCTTCCTTTGGGCTGTGCATGGCGACGTGCTCCAGCTGCCCTGAGTCTGAGACATCGTAGCTGGTCTTGTACTTGGCCAGGATTTTCATCAGTGGGCGCAGCTTCAGCCACCACTGCTCCTTGGGAATCCTGTGGCTGTGGAACAGGTGGGGTGGGAAGGAAAAAAGGTACAGTGATTTGCTTGGTAGCTACGACACACACAGTTTTTAGGTCATTTGACAACACTTAAGAGTAATGGCCTTCCTTATAAATCAGATATTGATTATCAGAATCAGATATTGACATTCATGGTGGGATATAAACACTGACCCAATATGGGGAGAAATAAGGCCAAAATACTGAAGGAACTAATGATGTTCTTTAGAGATAAGTGCAATACCAAATTGGGTGCAAAAGTGCTGCCCCACTAAACTGTATTGGAACTAAAGTACTTCTAGGCATTAGAGCAAAGACAATTATGATATTAGGAAAAATTTTTTCAGTGAAAGGGTTATCAGACATTGGAATGGGCTGCCCAGGGAGGTGGTTGAGGCACCATCCCTGGAGGTGTTCAAAAGACGGGTTGATGTAGTGCTGGGAGGTATGGTTTAGTGATGATGCTCCTTGTTTGTTGTGTGGGTGTCTATTTTTGTCAGTTAGGTTGACGGTTGGACAAGATGATCTTTAAGGTCCCTTCCAACCTAGAAGATTCTGTGATTCTGTGATTATTTACAAGGACAGTGGAGTTCCAGAATTCTTAGCAGGAGACTCCCAAGTATAAGGAGGCCAAAGAGAAAGCACGAAGGGAGATGTTAGTAAAGACAAGTGACCAATCCAAGCAAGTCACTGGCTGAATGTAGGCCAAAGACAGAAGCAGCATAGAGCTGGCAAAGGCAGTGTCAGCCTGCAGGGAAGAGGCTGGTTTGATGTGGCAGAAGGAAGCCAGTGTCAGGTGTTTCAGTGTCAGCAGTGGATACGTACACAAAGTCTGTTTCAGTCTTCAGCTCAGCCACAGGTTGGAACACAAGGTTGCGTCTCCGCATTCCCAGCAAACACACCGAGTCATCGGTATTGGCAAATACTTTTCCTAAAAGGAATGAAATAATTCAGGATCTCTCTCACACTTTTAAGGGCTAATACCCTTTTTCTGTGTAATTAAGTTGAATAGGGAGCTTACAGTAGCTTAATTCCAGTTACTGAATATTTAATGTAATGATAAAAATATCAATTAGTACTTTAATAGGGTTAGGAGATCTTCATTTTTTTAATTTAGCTTTGGTGATTAGCAATGAAAATACAGTGCAATCAAGCAACAACAAGATTGAATTTTAACATGAAGTTTTAAATTAGATTTTAGTAAATAATGCTTTACAAAAATTCCCAAAGAAGACATATTACCTTCTTCTGTCTCCCATGTAGCCACCATGAAACAAAAAGGAAGAACAGATGTAACTATATAACCATCAATTCCTTCATGCATGAAAAACTGCAATCACACTATTTTTTAAAGAAAGATAAGAAAACAGCTATCATCTGAATTATTGACCTCACTTAAGGGGAAATCTTACAGTAGGAAGCCCAGCAAGGCAGTACTGAATAATAAAAACATGATCAAGAGGAAAAGAAGTATGTTGACTAACAAACTAATATACATTCGTATGTTTGTGTAGTAAAGTAGTCTCATACACCAAGAGAGAACCAAAGCCAGTAACAAGAGAGAACACCAAATATTCCTGCACCTTTTCGGTAGGTTTCTTTCAGTTTTTTGGAGATCCACTGCATGGCTTTTGCAGAGATTTTTGTCCCGAAGTTTCTATCAAATGGTGAAGGTGCACCACCCTGTGTGGAAATTTAACTGTGTTAGTTTAGTTACAAACCACTATTTGTGTCTTTTTATTTCACCAGTCATCTCTGTTAATGGCCTGCTCTACCTCTTATTCCCATTCCCCAGCTTAGAAAAACAAACAAACCAAAACCCCCACCATGCCAATATAATCAAAACATGTAAAATTTGTGTTAAGCAGTCATCAATAATACTTTTCCCTTAGGTAAATGGTGGGCACTGCTTTCCCTTTTCCCCACTTCCCCTTGGTGCAGCTGATCCCGCACTGCCCAGCTACGCCACTGCCACAGAGCAACCAACAGCCAGCCTAATATAAAGGATTTCTTTTTTGTCTGCTTTCATTCCAAGTATTACAGCAGCTTTTATACAGCTCTGGGAACAAAAGTGTTGGTTTGGGTTTTTTTGAACCCTCTGTCTATATTATACAAAGTCTGATTTTTCTGTCCGTTTTCAGTGCAGCAGATGGGACTGAAATCATTTGTGAAGTAGTTCCAAATAGTTCCAAACAGATTGTTTGACTAATGCTGGTCTTGACCTTCAATATAAACTTTGCAAAATTTTATGCTGAAAGTGCCAAATGTTGAATAATCTAAAACCAGACAGGAGTAAGGGGAATATACATACAACTTGAAATGACTTAAAAGGAAAAACAGTTGTTTCACTACGAGCACTTGAGAAATTTGGCTCCACATGTACTTTTTAATCTACCTCAGTCTTGGTGGTTACTGTAGCTAAATCAGAAACTTCCTATTTGCCCCCCAAGCAGCAGTACAGTGAGATACAGAGATGTAAGGCACAAATACCACAGGGAGTAGCTCCCTGCTGTCACTTCGACAAGAACAATCTCTCTGAACTTACTTTCTTAAAAAAATCTCATCTCTTCCAGAGTTCAGAAGCCAGATCATTATGGATGGGCTAAGCGTGGTCTAAGGATGTATTACAATAATAGCAAGATAACTGTATTATCTATTTAAAAAGTGTAATTGTTTATTACGGGAGAGGAATAAAAATTAAAACCATTACGAATCTAATGCATTTTACCCCTAGATGTTTAAGAAGGAATTGCAATAAAATATAATCCTAACAAAAACTTCTGAGTTACCTACAAACAGAAATACCTTTAATTCCAAGTCAGAGTTGCTTGAAATGCTCAAATATTTTATGTTCTTTGTTTACACAAAGTTAAGCTTGACTGTAATTTTAATGTCATTTTTACCTGCTGCATGTGGCCCAATACATTTTTTCGACAGTCAAACACTCCTTTTCCTTCTTCAGAATACAGCTGATAAATGAAGTCAGTTGTGTAGTTCTCATTGCAGTTCTCATTTCTGTAACAATTAAGGCCAGCACACTTAGCAAATTTACTATTAAGCAGTGGATGTCTTTACAGCCACTGAATGACAAATGTTTTCCCATTTTCTTGCTCATGGCTTGGATCACCTCATCACAATGTTCACTGTCACGTAACACACTCGTGATTTACTTTCCCTACCCTGACATCACTGGCAGGTCATATGGAATCCAATGGTAAGAAAGGGAGTGAAAAATACCATTTTAGGTCTGACGAGTTCATTATGAAAAGGAAAAAGTTAAAACAAGTAGTCATTGACATCCAGTGTCATAATTTTGCCCTCTATAAAAGCAAGGATAATGAATAATACCTCAGGTTGTTCACTACCAATATTGTAAACATAGGATATTTTCTCACCCTACTCATATAACTAGTAGAACCTGAACAAATATAATGATGTCCTCATACAATTTACTGTGGTATTAGTTTTTCAGCCCTTTGTTACTTGGCATACTGAAAATAAATGCTCAGGAAAGAGAGAAGCTACAGGCTGATTCATGCTGCCTAAGCAGGTATAATTTTAAAACATGCCAATCGACATGTTTTAAATATTTTGATTTTTGAAAATTATTTTATTCTGTGTTATCTCCTAAACTCTAAGTAAGATTTTTATAATAAAGGCCATACTGTATGTATATACATGTATGCTAGTTTTCACACTACATATAGTAAGAAAGAATCTACAACAAAAGACAAAGGCGATGATAAAATAAGCTGAAAATAGGTTAAAATATTAGACTGTAGAGCAAATATATTTACATAGAAAGAAGAAAGTTTTGGACCTGAGCATCCAGACACCTCCCAGACTTGTATTCTGGAGCTACAACTTCAGAAATAATCTCATGCTAAAGGAATAATCAAGGAATACAACCTTAAGAGTGTCTTTGTAAGTGGCCAAGCAGCCTGCTTGGCTGGAAGTGCTCCGTGTCACTGATGCCATCTATCAAAATTTCCTTACCTCAGCACTAGACCACGCTGGATACTGGTTTTCATTTTTTCAGTCAAGTGTTCCACATTGGCCTAGAAACAACAAAAGTATTTTTATCAAGCTGTACAAAACTCTAAAAGAACGTTAATGAGCCCACATATCCTGAGAACTTCTGAAAAGTATTCCACATCAAATATTATGTGCAAATTCAAATAATCAGCAGGTTTTGGGAGATCCAGGATAATATACTGTGTATGATTATTCATCTTGGGTTAAAACTAACTTCTTCCACGCCACAAATAACTGACTCTAATAGCAACACAAGTTGTGGTTTTGTATGCTGTGCTGCTATAGCACCAAATTGGATAACATCAACGTACATTGAAGTACAGAAATTGCCACAAAGATTGCACCTTGCCCTTACTCCCTGTCCTTGCAAAAGTCCTGTTATGGATACAGTGACGGACTGCTGTGCTGGTATTCCCGTATATGACACGAAGAGCACAGGCTACTAAAAACTGAGTGGGGAGGAATTGCAATTCCTTTCACATTTCTCTTCCTTTAAGGAAATTTCCATCTCTTTAGCTTTTTATTTGCCCATGACTGCAGCTACCACCAACTACCTCAGAAGTGTAAAAACCTCATAGTAGACAAGTTCCATATCAGCTTACACCCTAATCTGTAATCCTTAAAGCCTGAGATCTTTATTTTAGTAACACCTCCGAGCATGCTCTGAATAGCTGTGGTATTGAAGTCAGTATCTAATACACATTTACAACTATTCAACTCAGGACATGAATACCCATCTAACACAATGGAAAAAATATTTCCGCCCCTCCCCCTCCCC